CAAATATATATTAAGTAAATAATTAATTGAAATAAAAATATAATATAATTATGCAGTGCTTAATAGATATAATAAGAAAATATTTTTTACTTAATCTCTAATTCCGCATTCTCATGATTTCATACAAATAAAACCTAAAATATTAGACAGCTTTAAATGTTGTTGCTATTATTATTATAATAATGATTAACAACTAAAATAGGCTTAAAGTTAAAAAAAAAATCTATAAATAATATTATAATAAGTATATAATATCTTTATTTTAAGCCAACGAGCAAGACGACTAAATATCTAACCAAACGGATTATACTAGTGGTTTATAATAGGTGTACGAAATTTAGCCAAATTTGATGAAAAAATTGCGTTTTGTTTTTTATACCAAGTAAATATTATTGTACTAATATAATAATATAAACTGTCATTATATAACATTACTATTTTGTCTACGGCAAAGTGAAAACACAATCCATTTCTGCTATAGGCTTAGACATATATGTGTTCGTTAACAATTACAATAAAAAATGAAAATGGACGATAATAATATATGTAAATAGGAACAAATAGCGTTTCAAATTCAGAAATGTTTAATGCCATCGCATGCTAAAGTGATTAAGGTTTAACAATTTTTTTTTATAGGTAAACCAAAACACTTATAAATATTACATTATTCTCTAGGTTTTTCGTTTTATATTTGTTCTAAAATATTTTTTAGTGATGCTTTCAAACATTTTGAGGCTCAAGCTCCTAAATGTATACATCCCTCCTATTTGGGTATAAGCTGACGACTACTGGTTATATCCGTGAAGGTTTTATGCGAAAATGTTTAGCTGCCCCACACATTATGTCATACTACGTAATAAACAATAATAATAATAAATACGACCGCGGCCGATCCCCTCAATGACATTATTTTATATTATAGACGGCACGGATAATGGTATAGCCGATGCTAATCACTGTAGCAGCACCCACCCGTTTGGGCCTAGAGTCAATCAGAACAAACAATAATAACAGTTATAACAGAAAATAAAACGAACGCGCTTTGGAGGCGAGACCTTATGTGCGGTTTTTCGGTTACAATGACGGCGGCAGATGTTGCGTAGCAGCGTGTGCGCGCGCGAAAAACCCTACGGGAACGCCGCGCCCGGTTTACGCCCACGCGTATACAATAAATGTAAAACTCCCTCCCTGAGGTGGTTCCTGAAACTCGTAACCGTTGTCGTCGTCGTCGTTGTCCGGTCATCGTCGTCGCAATTGATGTAGTATTATTGTATGCTCACGACGTGTAATATTAGTTTTATATTCGAGATTTACGATTATTTACAGCTTACGATTACGACGCTCAATTTCTGACAATTTATTTAATATTATAACATCAAAGAACCAAGATCAGCGTAGATACGTTTGAAATTAATAAGGAGCTTATTTCCACCGTGCAACTCGACAAGATAAACAGAGTGAAGAGAGGGGTTATTATTTAAAGTATATAGAACAGTAACGGATACGTAACCAATGTTTTCTTACAAGTGGCCAAAAACTAATTTTTAAGTTCAAATTTAATTGTTTCCAAAATATGTATTTATCTTTTTAGTTAAAAAAAAAAAAAAAACACTTTTATATTTATAATATAACAAAAAATGGGTATTACAATGAAAAATGTATAATAGGTGCAATAATATACTCATACTCATAAGTAATTATGCAGATCTAATAATGTAGTGGTAGGAATGTTAAAATTATATTCTCGGCAGTACAAATTTTACTATTTACTGTGGACAATTAATAAAAATAGCCAAGAATCATTATTACCAAAATATTCCTATAAATTCTATTATAAAAACTTTACTATCACAACTATCATTATACTATCTACGCAAATCATAAAAATAATAATAAATTATCATAAAAATTAAAATTAGAATAATAATTTGTTGATACCAAAACATATTGTTTTTTATTCGTTAAATACTGATAATTTAATTTAAAAAAAATTATATCTTAAATGGTTTTTATACGTAGACCAGTTATACGTATATAATTACATAGTATACGTTAAAATTCTAATCAGAAATTCTTTTCGAATATCACCGGTTGTCATGTGTGAATAGCCGACGAGTTTTCTTCGTTCTTTTTCAACTAATGCAAGTGGATAAAAAATTGTAAATATTTTTGATTTTACGATGAAAATGTCGTTTTTTTCTGCAAATGGGAAAGGGAATATTTAAAAGTTAAATAAAATCACTGATTAAGCACATTCAATACGCTTGTATAGCGAGTAATTCAGAATCAATTTTTTATATAAGTTTCAAATATTATCGTATTAACTTTTTAAAAACAATAAACAATTATTCATAATGATAGAACTAACCTAACCATTTATAGTTAGATATAAAGTATAACACAATTTACCTTGTATAAAATAACAAGTTTTCAGCAAAAATTAGTATGAAAAATGTAACCACTGTCAGATTATTATTGATCGCATCAACTACTGTAGGTATGAAGATTTATAATATATTAGAATCTCAGAATAAATAGAAACGTTAAATAATAGGTAAATTGATACTCTGTGTGCTCATCAATAATTGTCTCATTTAATTATTTATGAAAAAAATCGTAAAATTAAAAACATAATTTTCCAAAAATACTATTTATTGCTGTATAATAAAATTATAAATAGATACTTGTGGATTATTGTCGACGATTCGATATATTATTATTGTTATTATTATTATCGGTTTCGATAATTTTTAGTTTTATAGGTGAGTTAGAAATAGAAGGTGTAGTGATTTTATTAGCAATAATTGCTATATTATTAGATCAATAAAAATTAAATACAATAAAAAAACTAAACTTTCTAAATCACCTTAAATATTACATTTTATGATCCACAGCTATTAACTCCTATTTGTTGAATCAAATCAAGCAGAAAAATTTTCTATTGTAATTTGTTCTAATATTAAAATTTGTTAAGTATAAATATTGTATTGATATTTGCGATTCGATTTGCAAGGCACATCAGAATCACTTAGTCTCAATTAACTAAAATGAACTAAATAACTTGTTACTCAATCAAACTAAAATGTATATGATAATAAATCCCTTAGTATAACTTCCATAGGTTATTTAGTTTTGTATCAAGTCTAGATAGAAGATAAAAGCTTTATAAAATATTAAAAACTTTTTGTTTTTTTTTTTAATATTTTAGTGTAAAATATAAATTTTCAATAATACCCATAATATTTTAATATATATTTAATAAATAAATAAATATAAAATAGTGTTCTTTCATTTAGTTCTTTATTATTTTATGCAGTGCATATGCAATGCAATACTATTACAACTGCAGTATCTATACATCGCTTTACGACTTTCAATTAATTTATAATATTATATTTTTGTAGCATTAGCAGTCATTTCTAATCAAGTTTTTATATGCTTCCATTTTTAACCATACCCACCGTGTTTTATAGTTCCGTATGACAGCAGTTTGCAATTTTTTTTTTTTTTTTGTAGCTTTAAATCCGCGTAAACCTTAATCCTTCCAGATGTGATATTATTATGTTGCGAACCCTCCGTTTATCGTTAATCCAATAACAAATAAATAGTATACATAATATATATATTTTTGTCGAGGGACTAGAAAGATGGTTTCTATTGTAGCTGTTAATTTGAATTGTGGTGTGAAACATTTATTGCATTGAAGTGAGCACAATATCATACTATACAGCCTATGATACAGTTTGCATCTCAAAAGCTATTAGTATAGGTAGTATAGCGTAGTTTAGTAATACTAAATATTTACGTATATGAATAGTTAGGTAATGTCGTTTAACTGATTAAGTACTTATACACGTATATTTTAGCACTGCGTTTGTACCATACATTTGTTTATCATAAAATAATGTATAACGTATTATACATTACGTGCTCTCACTTCTTATAGTAAATTTAATTTTTCTATTAATTAGTTAATAGTGTTCTAACACGATACTAATTTTTGTTATGGATATTAAAAGATGATATATCTTTTACAATATATCTAAACGCTTATTGTGCACGTATATTGTACACTATACGTATACATATACAGCATATATAATATACTATATTTTTTCCCAATAATCTTAAGTAATACCGATAAAAAAAAAAATGTAAAAGCATGTGTACCCAAGTGTCTTGGAGCGAGTGTAAAATACACTTAATATATAATAAGGTTGAATAATACAAAAATAAAGTGTAACCTCGAATATAAACAGTTTGGAAAGAGATCTGTATTTGAATATTTTCAATAAAATATCCATTTAGCTGTCCCGTTCGAGTGACACTTGAGAAGCTTTTAACAAAAATTGCTATGAGATTTCTTTTCAATGGAATAAAAAAAAACTTTTTTTCACTATTATGGATTATCTCAGCTGTAAATTTTCAAATCTCGACCACAGATTATCGTTATAAATCTCTATTATTGTTAATAAAATCACTAAACCTAATAATGTTGCGTTCTGCAGTAATATTTTCTGGTAAATATTATACCAATATTTTTTTTTATATATAAAAGTAATTTTACTGTATAATAAAAATATAAAAAATAATACTAAAGACGAAAATATAACAAAAAATAACAAATATTTTAATTATATTTTATATTTACATAGTTAATTTGACGTTAAAGAAATTTGTAGATATTTTACAAAATAATGTAGTCTAATTTTAAGTCCTTATTTAATGCATATTGTTTTAGTAGTAATAAATAATAACCATATTTTTAAAAGAGAAATGCATCTAATGAAATTTTCTAAGTATTTACAATATACAATGCAGTCATAACTTTGGTAATGTTAATTTATGTCTTACTAAAATTGATTGAACTACATTAGTAGTGAAAAGCTTAAGATAGGTATAAATATATACCTAACATAGTAATATTTAATATCATATACCTAATATAATAATTATCCATGTATCCGTATTGAAATTGAAATAATTGTAGAAAAATAAATACATTTAGGTACATTTAGATATTATATAGTTATAGAGACCATAATATAAGTAATATAACATATAACAATTACTATAATATGATTATAAATGTTATATACATATAAATATATAAAGTGAACATTATTAGATAACATACAATAAGTAGCTTAAGTGCAAATGTAATACTTTTAATTGTTTGTAACTTATAAAAGATAACATATTGGGTTTTTCGCGCCTCTTTTAATGAGAATATATGAATTAAAAAACCTCTGCTACGAGCTAAAATTGCTGACGAAATTATATTATGGGGCGTTATTGCTTACAAAAAGTGTATTTTTCTCTATCGTAATATATCATAACACATGAGCTCTGCAGTAAGCCTGAATGTAATAGTATATAAAATAATTTTCATAAAATGTGATTAAATGGTTTAACTATAAATCTAGCTCGATTCGAGTATCAAAAAAATGCATGCAAAAAATAAATTACCACTTTTATTTCGTAGTAACATAGTGTATATATAATTGAAAAAAAACCAATGACGAAGTAGCCTTCATTACTCATTATAATTTATTTTATCGATTAATATAAATGGACTTATATTACAGGTAACAATAATAGATTATAAGATCAAAATTAGAAACGTAACATTTATTCATATTTTTATTTCAAGTAGTATTATTATATCAATAAGCTTTTCCAAAAATTTTAATCAAAACGATTAATTTTATTCTGAAGATAAAAATGTGGTTTTTTGGTTTTTTTTTTTAGTTTTATACTTCTTCAATTTTCCAAAAGTTGAAATATTAAAATATTACATATGTTCTGTCTATATTTCTTAATTTTTTTAAATTCTTGACTTAACGTTTACCTGAATATAACAAGAATAATTGCAGGTATTAATTACTATTATAATAGTACTATTTATAATAATACTATTATAATATTAAATACTATTATAATTCAATAACAAAATAATTTACATTAACTTTTATGTGTACAATTTAATATATATTTATTATATACAATTAAGTTCGAATGAAAACAATATAATGTGTTTTTAAATGGTTCGTTACAGAAATTGTAAATACAGTTTTTCTACCTTATATTATATTATTATACTTATGGGAGTGTGTGAACTATGAGACATATTTCCCGAAAACTTTTGTCCGTTAATACCCAATATATTTTGTGTGGTTGACTTTGTCAAAAAGGAAACGGTTACCTACCTATCGTATACTGTTTAATACAGACCTTCGAAAGAGATGGGTTGCCAATAAAATGCAAATTGACGATAAATATACATAAATTTTACTTTACATAAACACTATTTAAATTTCTTGGAGATAAAATATTACATCGAGTTTTTTTTTTATTCTTTTTTTTTTACTATCCCCCGGGCTTGTTTTCCTTCTGTGTCAAATACCGCATGAACTCCTTTTGCTCCAAGTGCAATGTTTATATACTATTCCTTTTAAGTCAACGATTGAAAAACTCGAGTATTCCGTCTTCGCAGCTTGTCATTATGATTTTACTTTTTATTTATCGTAATTTTTTCCTCCTCTCGAAATACCTAAAGTATGCAACGCTGTAACAACCAAAAATTAAAAAAAATAAATACTATCAATACCACCGAATACGTTTTGATTGATATCTTTAATAAATGATCACAAAATTATAAAATATCAGACTAATCTCACTTTTTTTAATGAAGATATACTATAGAATAAATATGTGCAATATGCAAATTCTTGGTTACTACGCTAACAATGTATTTTTTATTATTATTATTATTATTATTAGAAACTTTCTGGACTGCAATCGCTATTTATATACCAATAAATTGTCAATTTTTGTATTAGTACAAAGCAACAATATAGAAACGAACAGTTGAATTATTTATCTTTGAAAAATAATGTCAGCCTTATGCACCATTTGCGGTCCATAAAGTTTCTCCATCCATTTTTAAGTCTTTAATTTGTTCAAATTTAACTGTGAACACATTAGATAAACTGCAGTGAGACGAGCTAGTTATATTTTTATTTGATAGCGAAAGATAACATGTAACATAAAATAATTTTTGTGGATAACCAAAATTTTGATTAACGTTTATTTAATATTTTTAACGGTAAATTCACGAAAATGTGATTACTTAAATGAACTTGTATATATGTATTTAGTGCGACTTAAATACGTCCTACATCGTATATATATGGCTCATATAATAAACGAATTCCTATTAATATCACTATCACTAAATTCAACAGTGGTGGTAAACGAAACCAGATTTTTTTTCTTAACTGGTCGCACTTTTTACTATTATTGTTATTATTTAATCACATTATCGGTGAGCTAAGAACCGCCGGTTTTTATTCGTGGATAATAAATCGGTGGACCGGAAGAATCGCGTAAATTGTCGGCGTTGTGTGTTAGTTGGATGGCAAGCGGACAGGGAGTGGGCTTTTAATCGGATTAACACATCTTTCACCAGTGTACAGGATTAGCTAAAAAGGGATCGCGATCCCCTCCTTTCACCTTCCTTCGACCGCTAGTGAGACGGGGATAAAAGAGTGAGCAGCCCATGATGTTGATGCATTGGCCGTGACCACATGTTCGGTTTTTAACGTGATTGCCTATCCACCGAACGCAATCTCTTATCACTTGTCCTGCCGCAATTGCTGTTTCCAGAAAATTAAACTCGCGACCAATCTCGAATGCGCATAAATTTACCAGACAAAGTGCGTATATAAGTATTTAAGCTATAAATATATATACAAACATGTATGTGCATGTATATACTCAAATAAAATTTGATTAACTAGGTACTCGAAACGCATTAAGACGAAATGAAATGGATTTTAAACGATGGTGCACGCCATATTCGTTTACTACCGCATGAGCACTATTTTCTGATTTCCAGAGATTTTTTCGAATGTATAATATAAAATAAAAGTATAATTAAGCACAACTAATATGATTTCATAACATTTAATTATACAAAATAAGCAACTAAATAATGCTATATGCAATGTATAACATTCATTTGAGTTTAAAATATATTTATATTTTATATCAAAACAAATATATTTATTAACTTATATTTATTTATATTAAAACGGAGCATATATAATCCAATTACACTACTTTTAAAAGTAAAAACGTTTAAACACAAAAATATCTAATAAACTCCCATTTATGGTATATCTGTTACGGGCAAAAGCCGAAATCGGGCAAACCTCAGAAATGCCCGGGCAAAACGCGAATTGCCCACAATCCTTGGGCAAAATGTCATATTTCGGCTTTTGACCGGGCAAACCTAGTTATGACCAACATCATTTGGGCAAAACCGCCAAAACCGTATACTGACTTTCATCGTAAGGACAAAACCGTAGAGTTTTAAATACGTTCGCTAATATTATAAACAAATTTAATAATTATAAAATAAGTATTATTGTACAAATATATAAAATTAATATATTTAAACCTCACTTGAGTCAAACTGTAGCGTTTTAAATAACCACTAATATTAAGTACAAAAAAATAATATTATTAGCGAACGTATTTAAAACTCTACGGTTTTGTCCTTACGATGAAAGTCAGTATACGGTTTTGGCGGTTTTGCCCAAATGATGTTGGTCATAACTAGGTTTGCCCGGTCAAAAGCCGAAATATGACATTTTGCCCAAGGATTGTGGGCAATTCGCGTTTTGCCCGGGCATTTCTGAGGTTTGCCCGATTTCGGCTTTTGCCCGTAACATATCTATACTTATAAATATAAATATATTATACATACAACTTTTTATTTAACTTAACACGCAAGAATACAACTATTATTATAATATGATTACTTCATACAATAACATCAAAATTTTTATTTGTACCTTATCGGTACTACAAGACTTTTTCACAGCAGTAAAAATTTATTTTCTCAATACATTTCAGTGTATTGAAAAGTTTCTAAAAATGTTAATCTATAACAATAAAAACAGTTCATCTTCAATTCAATAAAATAAAATTTCCATTATTCCAGCTAAATATTAATATTTAGTTTATAATATATTATATACATTTATTTATATATATGTATATATATAAATTGTCAAACATATTTATTAAGAGCTTCGGTTCCTTTAAATAATAAAGCAAGGACATTAAAAAATGATTTCAATTTTTAATAGGGACTGTGATATATTAATTAAGGTTATAAAAGAGCATTATTTATGAGGTCTTATATATTAGAAAATATCTGTTTAAAAATTGCTCATATAAATAAATGTGAATAGAGAAGTATTTCATATTGTAGAGCTAAATAATTTATGGTTTTTTATTGATATTTATAAATTAAATTAAACTGCAAACAAAAAAAAAAAACACTTAACACTAGAACAAACCACTAACCTGTCAAAAATTATGTGTTATCAAAAATCTTTTGTTTTAATTTCTTAACTTATGATATTTAACATAATTTTAGGTTTTCTTAAAATACTATTAAATACTGCAGACGCTCAACCTAAGATTGAATTTTGCACTAATTTGTTATTTTTTACTTCAATCTACTCATAGCGCTGTTACAATTAAAGTTCTATCAAACTAGTATTAATCTAACTTAACGACAAATTATTCATAGAGAATATACTTATATAAAAAATATAACATTTTTATATTAGTATCTACATCGTATTGTAATTGACTACACATTGAGCACTATTATTAGATTAAATGATTTGAGCGTATAGGTACTATATAACTAACCTAACAGGTATACATAAATACACATACTGTACTGATGTATATATATACTACAAGTAGTAGCACGCGTATACTGCATACATACAGACACTATTTTCGTCCGGGGGTCGCCTGACTGACCCCTTTTTCTGCTCCCATCCTCCAACGTATACGGCATGGCATGAGCGTTACCTTCATCGTAATTTTCTCCACGAGAAAGATGGTCTTCGAACCGAATGAAAGATTCACATGAATATTATAATACAACATATTTAGTGTGACAATCGCCTCAGCATACACATACAATATGTACGTATAATACACACAAGCGAGCGACCATTTATATATTATTATTGTTTCTTTTAATATAACGTCAATGCGCTTTATATTGTATGCACAATTTGTCGTATTAGAGATATCCAACTCGTGATAAGGAATACCCATAATAAACATTATATACACACCTATAGGCTGGTTACCTGTACGGCAATAATAATAATAATAATAATATTAATAATGGGCTGCCGACGGTTCGGGTGGCTTTTCTTTTTTTTTCATTATTTTTATTGTTATTATAACACGCTACCGCCCACCAATAATACTCACACACACACACTCACACACACATATAGATTTACGCACAGCACAACGAATGACAAGGGTTTTCATTTGAATAATATAAGCTGCGACACGTTTGATTTTTTTTTTTTTTTTTATTCGAGCATTGTTGTTTTTCGTCGTGTGCATTTATAAATGCTGTGTGTGTTCTGACCTTTGGTTGCGGTCGTATTCAAATTTTTCGTGGTCCTTTTGTACACACACAACATTGCGTAAACATAACACAGTAAAACACGTTTATACATTTATATATAAATATATACATGTATGTATATTGTGTATATAATACATATACATACGCATAACAATATGTATTCAAAAACAAACGCAACCGATTCGTATTGTGTTTCAGTGTTTGTATACCAATGTCGTATGTTCGTGTATGTTTATCTGTTTACAATGGATATAAAAAGTTATAAATATTATGTCGGTTAGAACGGCAGGATCCCAGACAGCGTGAGGTTACCGGTGATGTTACCTCATTCCATTATAGGGTTATAGCGCGATTTCAGATCACATCTTTTTTTCTTTTGATACATTGAGCTGATAATTTTTTTGTCCATCACCGTAAATTTCTAAGATTTTTCATTCATTTGATTCTACGATGTATTTAAAATCAGGTATATTTCAATATGATTAAACTGTTACAAATATTACGTATCATATTATTTTAAATAAAAACTATCTAAACTAAAAGTTTAAGAAAAAATGTTCATAAATTTTTATATAACTCACAATTTATGATATATTATGTATAGCTGGCGATTAGCTGCATTGTCGTCCGACTGAAAGGTAATGTTATAGAAATTTATTAAGTGGATATCATTCAAAGATGAGATCATAATAAATATAGGACGTATTAAATGTGTGAAAACTATGAACTGTTAATGAAGTATTAAGTTTACAAAAATTAATGCATCTATCGTTTAAAATGTATATTTTTAAAATCGTAATAAATATAACGAAATTAAATATGGATTTTAAAATTTAATACCGAGTATAAATTATAACATTTATGACGAAGTCTCTAAGAAATACAAATTCATGTATCAATGGGTATAGAGTAGCGTTTCTCAACCTAGGGTGGCGACGCTTAACTAGGGATCATTTAAGACAAAAATAATAAAACGCCGATTTATAAAATAAACCTTTTTATTTAAAATATTTTATTGAACAAAAAAAAATACTTAAAATAATAATGATGATAATAATGTTAATATAAATGAATAAACATTATAAAATAAATAACTAGAGTACCTATCGTTGAATTTATTTTACATTTAAAAGTAGCTTAATCTGTGGTTCAACATTTAAATTACTACACATGGTATTTATAAATTGATATTCGACATAATATATTTCGTTTAGTTAATTGATTAATGATATGATATTTTTATTGTTAACATGTATACTTAATAAAGATAAAGGTGTTTCAAAGTGATTGATCATATTTTATACCTATTTTGAAAGTCGTGACACTAAAAAGGTTAAGAAACAATGGTATAGAGACTTTAAATTCAAAAATAGTGATAAATAATTTTATTCGAAAAGTTAATCTGGCTGGTTTATAGTTTATACCTACAAACTAAAAAAAGATTCTATAAAATTCGATCGAGGAATTCCCATTATGACACTGGTGGTCATTTCTCCTCACAAAATTTCATATTATAGTTGTTATCTTTAGATTAGATAAGTTAAACTTTTAATCAAGGTTTCTACCAAATTAACTAATTTTTTACAATAATATTACATATTATAAATATACTTTTTTTAAATAAAAAATAATTCGTTAAAAATGCTTGATTACTTTTCAAAATACTTTATCATTTGAACATGATTATTCTTCAATTTCCAATGTATAGGAATGGTACAGGACACTTTTTGACTCCTTTAAAAAGTGCGTTCTGTAAATAAAATAATAAAATCAATTTTAGTTTTCTGTCACAAATCAATTAAATATTAATAGGTTTAGTATTAACAGAGTATTATAGAATATTATATTATGATATCCCCTGAAAATCGTGATGTATTGATAAGTAAACAGTTAAAAACTGGTAATTCAAAATCTTATAGTTATAAGACTTTAATAGTTTTCGCGGTAACTCAAAAAATAAAAGTACCTTAAACAGCTATTGAATAGTAAATATTAAAATATGTATAGGCACAGTGTACACATATATTCAAAAATCAAATTTAAAACTGAACCGCCCTTCTAAATAATATAATCGGTTTTTTTTTTATAATATTGCTAAATAAACTATCAAAATATAACTATATAATAAATACAGTTAGTAATTTTATTTTTATGCAATGAAATTCGAAATGATATTAAAGGATTTCCAAATAATTTCCAAGAAACAATTTAACAAGCAAGTTTTTACATTTTAGTAACTATTCTTAACATACAAAATATTACTATACTAAGTTCTTATAATTGTCAAATCATCATCACTTATTATGAATTAGTAATGCCATTATAATAAGATATAAATAATATGTAATAATTACAAAATATATTCTGTAAAAATATTTTTACAAATAAATCTGTTTAGTTCTAATATAAAGAAGAAAAATAGTAATTTAGTTAATACTTCAGATGTTAAAATATTCAATAATTTAAAAAATAATCGAGGAAAAATAAAAATAAAAAGGATTTTTAAGTAAAATTAGTTTTTAATAAAATTTTTTTTTGATCCATTTTGTAATTTAAAATTGAAAAATTGTAGTGACTTATTTAAATATTAATCCTAGAATTCTTCAGATTTTTTACAGTTTTCAAGTTTATTAATGATTTCAACTTTTTGCGATACTTATAGACATTTTTATATTTTTTACGTATAATACTTTTTCGGTTTATGCATAATATACTTTTTTATTTTGAGTAAACAAGTATTTTTGATAATTATTGTTCCAAGTTAAAATTTTTACAAAATGTATTAAAACTGGAAAAAGTTTAATGTTATTTTATAGTTGAAAACTTATAATATTTAAGGTTTTAAAATTTAAGAGGACACAGTTCTACTCACTTGTATGTTTTGATATCTCTGTCTTACTAAATCGAATCATAAATCATAATACACTTTAAGATCAGAAAAGTCTAAATTGCTCTGCTATTCTTAATAAGAATGATTAGATCGATTAAACAGTTTAAATGAGAGGATATTATCCATAGTTATGAATGTTTATTTATTCATTTTTTTATTTTTTATTTTTTATTAATTATGAACATTTTAAAATCTACAAAATGTTTACATTTTTATCATATTTTTCTTTTATTTTAAATTTAAAGTAACCTACCTAACCTAACCTAACTTTTTGCCATACTGAAAGATAAAACTTTTAATTTATTTACTAAATTAATTTATAACCTAACCTTACTATTTACTATAAGAATTGTATTTTTTGCACAGTTCGTTTCGACTTAATCATATAATTTATTTATTAATCTATAACCTAACCATCTTTAAAATCTAATATAAAATGTACAAATTATACTATAATATATTATTGTACTTTCATAATGTAATTATATCATATTGTTATCATTATTATTATTATTATTAAATCTACGTACAATAAATTAAATAATACTATAGTGTCGTCTTTTAGTCGCCAAAGGCGCATGTTATACTGCATATACGTATATTTATTATATATATAAGAGATCATACGATGGAACCAGCAACTACCAACCGATGGTGGTGTGGACGAGGAAGAACTCTCGAATCGGGGGACTGCCGACACCACCGCCGCCGAGCGAGGAAGCCTCGACACGTCTTTTTGTCCGCGTTAATTACACGTCCGCGGCAATGTTTCTTCATGAACGCTTCCGCATCTGCAATTAACCGCCGCCACCATTATTGTACTGCGTGTAATGTGTATACGTGAATGTGTATTTATGTATGTGTGTGTGCACAGTAGACGACAACGGGGACCCTTTCTAGGTGCATATAATTTCGTCAGGAAAATGCAAATCAGCGATGCCAAACACACACGGGAATTGACGGTGGCGGTGGGCGAGACGGCGGTATTTTTCGGTTTGATGAACTTCAATACAGCAGTGGCAGCGGCGCTCTATGTATACACGCCCCCCCCTTCCATCACTATCATCTCCCAGTTTGCCTCTACCACCGCCGACACCACTCACTTAATATATATTATAAATACACGTATACACACAACCTGCAGTACACCGCAAAATCTCTCGCGCATCGTCTGCAGTGATTTTCTAAATACCTTCTATCCACCTTCGCCTCCATCACATGGTTTATTTATACATATTATATATATTGCACAACACATATAGAATGAAAAACATGGGTTTGACTGGCTGGTAAGAGGGTAATATAATATGGCGATGAATTTTCTCACAAAGAAAAGTGATCGTGAATTAATCTACACCGTGATCAATAAAACGCGCTTTCCGCGGAAAACGGATACATAAACTTATCGACGATTCGTATCTGTTGAAAACAGGAGGTGGTAGAACAATGTGACATATAACACCTAAAATTTCAGCATATATATATATATATATAAATTATAAATATAATGTATGTGCCGGAGAGCTGGCGCAAGAA